TGAGTCATTATAAGAGGCGTTAGAAGCAAAAAAATTGCATATCGCTCCTACGCTGTACTGTAGTAGCTAATGCTATAGTTTAAGCCAATTTTTTTTAAAAATACTACTATAAAATACAATCTAAAGAAGTTTCACTTTTTGCGCGTGTTCATTAATACACGCTCGCCACTTTTTTCTGATGTCTTGTTGTATATCGTCTAGTTATGCACATCAGAAAAAAATTTTGAAATAATAAGATACTTTAGCTTGTTATTGGTCGTCTTACACGTTATTATTACCATATTTTGTCAACTTTCTTATTTTAAATTCATAATACGTCACAATCGTAGGATTAGAAAGTATATAGTGGTTGCGCCGAACGTCTTATTTAAAAAACCATCACGTTCGAGTAGGGGTGTTCTTCGCATTTGTTAAAAAGGGGTTTCCTCTTTGGCTGATGTATAAGTGTGATGTGTGGTCGACGCGTCCGACGGACCCGGTCATACCGTCCGCCGCGTCGTCGTTCGCCCGTCGCTGGGCGGAAACGTATTTCAAAAGGGGTTTTTACAGTTTCCGACATGTAGCGGCGACTAGGCGACTTTTCAGCGGCATCGTGTCATAATTTTTCACCTGAAAACAAAGAAGCCACTTATAATAATCTCAACATGATCGTCACATGCTTGATGGCCCGGGAATATTAGGCATTACTTTTTCATAGCTCTGACTGTTTATAACTTTATAATAAGGTGCTGAAACATTTGTATTTTCTAAATTATAAGTAACCTAAGTAGGTATTATATCATTCGTTTTTATTTTAACTTTTTGTTTTTCATTTTGTTTACTTTATCTTTCTGATTGCATCGGTTCAAATGCTTTGAGAATAGGAAAAAGTCAGTCAATAGGCGCTCAACTGCAGTTTGCGAATGATAATTAATATGAGTAAAACAGAAAAATGGTCAAGTTTTAAAAAATTTACAAATTGTTCTCTGCACAGTAGGCTTTATAAGAAGACGGAATAGATTAGCAGCTATTAAAATATTAAAGCACCAGAATTGCGTAATTAATTAAATCATTTAAGTTGTATGAATTAGTGTTACCTGATTGATGCCATTTAAATTAGTTGTTAGTCCATGTTTTCGGATTACGAGCGAGAAATTAGTTTGTCTCTATATTTCAACCACGTGTTATCCAGATCGTATTAGGAGCAAAAACACTTACTCTCATGTCATTCTTGTAGATCCCTTTTTTCAAACAGTGGTAAAGTTTTTTTTTTATTTAACGGATAATTTCAAATAGAAAAATGTTTTGTTCCAAGAAAATAATGTATAAAAGTTGCTTCAAAAATTTTAACTCATAAATCAATTGGAAGTAATAATTTTTCGTTTATCTTGCGTGTTTGGTCTTGACTTTAGTCTCGATCGTTCGCTTTTAGACTTGCTCTTGGTCTCTTAGTCTTGAATTTTCGCAAGATCAATATGAATTTTGTTCATCATTAATATAAATTGAATAGAAAGTACAGAATTAGCCTTCAAGTTAAAAATTTTACTTGATATCTATATACATATGTATATTATTAATCTAAGTGTTGGAAAATAGCCGCAGGTTTTTATGTCAAAGTAGATAATAAAATTTGCACCAACAAAAAGAACGTCAAAACGTCAAATATGATGCCAGTTTAATATTTTACATAGAGAAAAGTAGTGACAACTGTTTCACTTTCAAAATTGTAATTATTACAAAGGGGTCGTAAACAATCGTTGTTAAATACGATAGATAAATGAGTCACAAGCTGGTGTAATTCGTTGGTGCTTTAAATCTTTGGTCGTTAACTGCTTTTCTTAACGTTAAAAAACAGCTGCTTCATTTTTACGATCCACGCTCCCATAATCCCATAGTGGTCATCAATGTTGTCTGCGGCGGCTGTAAAAAGCGGCGAACATTAATAAGTTTGCTGGCATACAGATGTAAACGTCATAAACAAGCCGTTATCTGTTGCATTAAAGTTAATCTGAAACGTTGAATCGGGGGGTGAAAGGAATGCACCGGACGCTTTGTCTTTTGTGGTGAATCCGTCCGACTACCGGACTTACACGCATTTGTGACGAGAATTTAAAATTTCCTTAGATACGTCGCCTTCAATATATTTCACCATTTCCCGTATTTGTTCATTTCCATATTTATTCACTGGTGAATAGCCGCATTTTGCTGGATATGGCCGTTTGTCCTTTATCTAATTCGCAATCCGCTCTGTTTTTCAGATAAAAACCACTTTACACTAAAATGGCTACCTATGTAGTCGATTTTTTCTAATAATTTACACAGATTTTGTGATTTTTATAATCCCATAGAAGCATAACATGGAAGTTTATTTTCATAAATCTTAATTCAAACAGTTAATTGTTTTGTATAAACATCACATATATTTCAAAAGAGTATTTCAATAGTTTGCATAAAATGAGTTGTATTTTTTCTTTCTCTGTAACTGAAACTTTCGATTAATAGAACGGTTGAAGACAGCAGCAGCAATTCACATTTTTCGTTAAAATGATAATGGTACCTGTCGTAAGTCGCTGCTTAATATTCAGAGAGATCGGGGTTAGTTGGCGTACGGGACTAGTTGGAACATTTTCTAACAGTTTCTATTTCCTATTGTTATCATCAGGGGCGGCCTTAGTCATTGGAAGGTTCTGGGCGGGTAAATTTTTGCGAGGCCCTCGTCTTTGTGGAATTAATTTTAATGATGATACTTGAAAAATGCAAAAAGTGATTCATAGATAAGTTTACAGTTTTAAAATTGTTTATCGAAAATTAAAAAAAATTGATAAAGACAAAGATAGCAAATTTGCGGCTTCTTTTAAGACTATTAAGAAATTCAAATAAACATTAGTAGTATGTACTATTACTACCTAATATTTTTCTAATTAGATTGTTGCGCGAGTGTGCGAGGCCCCTGCAAGAGCGAGGCCCCGGGCGG